GAGGACAGTCAGGGCACTGACTCACATTGCTTTCACAGGGTCTTACCGGCTGCAGGGCCTGAGCTGCTCTGTAGCTGTGCTGTATCTGCGAGGGGTAAGAGCAGGATTTCACCTTCTCGTCCTCTGATATATCGGTTGTGTCTGGGTACGAGGGCTGTGCTCCCTGCAATGAGCATAAAAAGTGTAAACGCAAAACGTCCAGTGCCTTTAAAAATATGGTTATCCATGCTAAATAAAAACTACAACAAAAGCAGTTCTTGTCTTTTTTTAAAAATGATTCTGAACATAAACCACTGCCTTCACAAATGCTGTCACACTTGTTTCAATGGCACTGAGTTCTCCTGGGTAAGGCTTCTGTCTGTATTGGTCTCTACTATAAAATAGAGGCCCGCTTCACCAACAGACCATCTTGTCCACTGGGCCAGGCAGAGAGCTGGTACAGTTCTCCAGTCACGGTCCCAGTCTTAAAACCAGGACTCCTGGGAGCTCAGCCAGTGCAGAGGTGTGGCTCTGTGTCCCAGGGGTCATTGATTCCAGCCTGGCTCAGGTTACTAGCTGGTGGCGACTGGATTTCTCTACGCAGTGAAGTACAAACTGTCAGAATGCTAGACAGAGCTGAGGTAGAGTGGTCAGCCAGAACCCTCTCAGTCTTTGCTGAAACAATGACTCCTGCAACATTAACTCTCCTGTAAATGTCTCCTGTATTTTTACAGGAGACATTAACCCTCCTGTAAAGAAATTGTGGAGCTTTCCAAGGCTGTGTCAGGTGGGCATGTTCACCCTGCAATACAGGAGTCAAAGCCAAGACTCAAGAACACAGGTGATTCCAAATCGACTGGGTACATGATGAAAAATAATTGACAGTTCCATCCATCCATTTTCTAACTGCTTTACCCAATACAGAGCTGTGGGAGAGCCGGAGCTGATCCCAGCAAGCAATGGGTGCAAGGCAGGGTACACCCTGGGCAGGACGCCAGTCAGTCGCAGAATTGGCAATTCCATATTGATAAAATAAAAACTAGAGAGCCAGTGAATGGGAGTTAATGTCCCATTATGGTGTAATCTGAATCCACAAGATGCTCTGGGAACCCACAGCTCCACCGATCTCTGTCCTGCCCTCATAAAGGCCTCAGTCCAGTGTCCCCCTCCATTGCTTTTGATCACTGACAGATTAGAAAGTTAGCTGAGCTCCGCCTAGACTCTCACTTCAACGCCTGTTGCCCTTTGAAACACACCCAGCCTACCCAGAGAACAAAAAGGTCCTGCTACCAGTTTCCCCTCATACGTGGGGGGTAATAACAAACTATCACATCATTCCTTAAATAGGGTCATGATAATACACTCACTGGCCAGACTAATAGGAACCCCCTGTCCAATGGATAGAGTTTTCCATTGGCAAACCAATGAGTGTTTGGCTTAAGACAGATTTCCATCACCTTCCCCGGCCAGAACAATCCCCAGATCTCATATGAGAAACCAGTGGAACCAGAGGAAGTGCAGTTCAGTCCCACAGCCACATCTCAATCGCCTGGCAAGGGGGGGTTGGGCTGCAGATCTTTCAAGACCTTACGGATTGAGTGCCAGGCCCTGTTCACCTGGTTCTTGTGCATTGTTCACTTTTGATTCCTTGTGATTTGGCCAGTGAGTCCTCGTGCATCGTTGCTTTCAAGCTCATGAGTTGCTGTAGCTCACCATCAGTCTTGTGCTCTGCACACTGCTGCTGTAGGGCACCACACTGGACCATGTCCCTGGAACCGCAGGTGGAAGGCTGTCGGGCTCCTGACTGCATGCTGGGGGCATGGACTCCGAGAGCTTCATTCCCTCAAACCCTCTGAAAGATCGGGGAGGAGAGCACGGGTCTCCCTGGGCCCCCAAATGAATGTTGTACCCCTCTGCGCTATACTGGCGTCGATAAGGGTGAAAGTGAGTGGGCTCGGCAGAGCCAAACCCCTGCCCCATCACACCATCACTGCTATGCCGCCGGTACTTCTCTGTGGAGATGCCCTTCGGCCTGTAGGGGGCGCTCTCTGTTCGCTGGAAAGGCAGGGAAATCTCCCCAAGGCTTGGGTCATCCTGTTCGTGAGAGAAAAAACAGCAACGGTAAAATTGCATGTTAAAAAAAAACAACATATCACTACACAAGTGCAGGATCAGATTCCAGAGGGGGCGCAGCTATCCCAGCCTTCGGCAAGTTACTTCAGACTGCTGTAAAATACCCAATGCAGATGCATCCAAACATAAGGGGAGCTGGATGAAAGCCCCAGCCAATGAGACTGGTGATAATAATATCTTAATAATAATCTTGAGGTACAGTATGAAGGATTTGAGTTTTCAATAGAACAAGTTCAGTAGGTGGCTGCGTCAGCATGCATAGGCTGCAAAGGAGCAAGTAAAGGGTTTATTCCATGCTGAAAAGAGAAGAAAAGAAACACAATGTTTCAGATGTGGAGCCTTCTTCAGGTGCCGCACCTTGTTCCTTATTCAATAGAAAATATAAAACACATCGGAGACTGGTTTAAAAAGAAGAGTTGAACACCAGATAAAGTACAGGCAGTTCTACATCCAGGAGCCACAGTAGGTGTTGCACCTTCAACTGGAGGTGAATCCAGATTGTTTCAGTGGTTATATTATCAAGCAAGGAGCTACTCAGCTTTGACATCTGAATGCTAATAAAATTCTAGAAGGGATGGAAGCTGTACTGGATTTTAAAGAACAGCTACCCTGTCCTTCAATCCTGACTAAAGCAGGGCTCAGCACCAGGCAAGGAGCACAGCAGCCACTTGACCACAGCTGGAGAGGTCACCAGAGGCAACGGTCAGATTAGAACATGCGACTGATGGGATCGTATGTGCAGTGCTTACAGGTCATATAACTCTCAGTGATGGTGCAGGGGGGCTCAGTGCAGCCCTGAAGAGGACAAGGAAGAAATTGCCAAACATAAATACGAATTTTAAAGATAAAGATTAGGGACAAGGGGGGATTTAGACAATGGAATACTTCCGTATTGAAGTGGCCCAACCTTTCAGGGCTATGAAATAAAATAAATCCAGATCTTTTCTCTCTTGTAGAGATTGGAATCTTCAAGGTCTTTATATTTTCCCTGTTAGTACAGTATATACAGTATATGTATAGGATTATAGGATATAGGACTAAATATAGGCCTATATCATGAGATAAATGTTACAACTGTGTGGTATGTTGGGCAATAGTATCTTATCTGATAAAGAATATTAAAATATTTGCACTGACATAAAAAGCCCTTACAGCTATAATAAGTTTAAAGGAAAGTAAATGGAATTAATGTCAGGATTAAAAACTGCTTTGGGGAATATATTAACATGAGAGGCATTCAGTTATCCTGGAGTGTGTGGCATGTTCGAATTCAGTCTCGTTATCCAGCCAACAGCTGCCTGTTAGCAGAGGCAGGGAACAGGGCTCACCTAACACAAATCATTAAACACAGACAGAGGCTCTGGAGACCTAGCAGCAAAACAGAGCTGAAAAAGACTTGAAAAAATCAAATATCTACCTATCAGATTAATATCACATGAATTAAATTAAATGAATGCCAAGCAATCATGATTTCATAGTATGATGATAGTAATGGTCTTGTTGTTAAATAGTAACTGGCATTGTCTACTTTTGCACATCCAGAAATAAATTTGTAAGTGACTTTATTTATTTTACAATTGCCAGTTTGGGCTAGTGAAAGTCTTCTCCAGATGAAAACTCAACAAAAGTGTTTTTTTTAACTCAAATACAAACTCGAAGTGGGATTATTAGGGAAAGGCCAACATTGACAACACCTAACTTCTGTATGTTTACAGTGTATTGCAGAGAAATAAAAGGCACTGGGGAAGCTTTTCTCCGGAGTGTGGGACTATTACCTGTGTCTGTGCCATCTGTAAGGGGGGTGACAGCTGTGTGTCATAGGTGGGCCTTCCTGATCTGGGCGACATCTGAACTGGGGTACTTCTGCTGGAACTGGAAGAGAAGTTCTGGTTGTGTGTCTCCGTGGCCATACTGCAAGGCTGACAGCCTGGAGAGGAGGAGAAGCAGGTTGTTAATAAGTGTGCAGTACAGAGGTGGCACGAAATAAAACATATATAAGTGCTCTAACTGTAAGTTTCAAAGACAAAAAGGAACAGCAAATCCCTGACAGGTTAAAGTTTAGCAAAAAAAACTGAACGGACAAGCCAGAGACTTTCTTCAGGACAAAAAGTGAAGAGAACACTCAAGGACACAAGTAGTCATGAGAAGAAAGTTTATCAGGTTATTCACACTAAGAGCTGTGAATGCTTGGAACAAGCTTTCAAGGCACAATGTTGAAGCAGATTTTCTGGGATCCATCAGACAAGAACTGGATGAGACACTTTGATTAATGAGCTGCTGGAAACCCAACAAGCAAGATGGTGATCTGATTTTTAATCTTTGTCTTTATAACCCATTAAAGGAGACTGAGTACCAGTGGATTATAAAATAACACTGGGAGTAGGAATCCCTTCAGACAGACTCCTACACAGGAGGAACTGATTGTTTCTCTTGCTTTTAGCGGTCCGTCATTCCCAATTTCATACAGATACATACTGTATCTTCGTCAGTCTTCTCCAGAGTCATGGGCCCCTGTCCTGCTAGCTCATACTGGTCTGAGTGGGACACGCAGTATGGGCAGCTGGGGGCGCAGTCATGCAGAACCCACTCTGACACAGCAGGCAGGCGGCCTGAAACTAGCCCCAAAGCTCATTAAGATCTCAAGTTTACCGTGAAGATTAGGTCATATAACAACAACAGCCGAAAGAGAAGTTTCTTTTTTTTTCCTACTTGAACTCAGCTTCTTGTCGAGTAGGGAAATTTTAACGTGGTCTCAGTTGTTTTTTTTTTTTGCTATTTTTTCTCTTTCACCTCCGATGCTACATGAAGCCAAAGATGACAGAGCAGGGTGATGCCGAGAGGCGCTCCGCGGCTGTAGGGGAAAACTGAGAAGGTCTGTGTAATGACAGGCAGCTGATCGGCTGACCCTCCGCAGCTGGGCAGTGGGTTGGTGTTTGTCCCTCGTTTTGAAAGTTAGACAGAAGATTAGCAAAGCAAAATTAGTGACAGAAATTCTCTGGATGTGCGATTTTGCCATGGTATTTCCTTGATTTCCAGTAATTTGCAAAAAAAGTCACTTTTTTCCTCCAGGTTTGAAATGTTAACATTTCGCCATGTAGTTCTTTGTGAAATCTAGCTTAAATCTCTACGGACACTGAAAAACACACCAGTGATCATAGCAGGATCTGCTGGTTATCAGGCCACCAGAGGTCTAAGGTAGCATATGTTCGTCATGAGCCAATTGAATAGATCACTGGTTTACTTGTTATTAATTTACAGCTGCTTCCAGGTTTTTAGTTATTGAGAAGCTTGGGTTCCCTATAAAGTAAGCAGGACTCTGTATGATTGCTGCATATCCAAGGTGCTTTTGAAGCATCAAGGAAGCTTTGTACAACGGAGCAGTGAGGTGTTGCACTCCATTCACAAATAGAACTGTGGGGAACATTCCCATGGGAACATCATCAATGCACACCAGCTGGCACTGAGTAATGTACACCAGTAGAAGAGCAGTTCGTGGTTGGGATGTAAAATCGTCTTAGCCAGCAGCCATATCACCCTGCAACTCACAGCCGATAACCTGAAGCCCCGCAGGTGTGAGCCTGGTCAGTACCTGGATGGGAGACCTCCTGGGAAAAACTAAGGTTGCTGCTGGAAGAGGTATTAGTGGGGTCAGTAGAGGACGCTCACCCTGCGGTACATGTGGGTCCTAATTCCCCAGTATAGTGAAGGGGACACTATAATGTAAAAAGGCACGTCTAGATGAGACAACAATGAGGTCCTGACTCTCTGTAGTCGTTAAAAATCCCATGGTGTTTCTCAAAAAGAGTAGGGGTGTAACCCCAGTGTCCTGGCCAAATTTCCCCCTGGCCTTTATCAATCATGGCCTCCTAATAATCCCCATCTCTGAACTGGCTTCATTACTCCGCTCTCCTCCCCACTGAGAGCTGGTGTGTGGGGAGTGTACCGGTGCATCATCCAGGTGGGGCTGCACACTGGTGGAGCTGGAGGGGATCCCCATTACCTGTAAAGCGCTTTGAGTGGGGTGTCCAGAAAAGCGCTATATAAGTGTAAGGAATCATTATCATCTACCCCTGTGACAATGTAGTGCCCTCTGGTATCCACTGTCATAGGAACATGCTCTCTACAGTCCCCATTGTAGGTGCACCCAGTTTTACTGGTCCTCACTACAGCAGTGGGGATACCGTATTAAGGCTGTTACACTTTAAAGCACACCACAGAGAACATTTGTCAAAAAGCGAGGGACAGCAGTAAAAGGAGGGCAGCAGAGGGCTCGACGAAGAGGTGATTGCAAGGATGCAGAAAATACAGCATTGTACATTTCATTACAGACAACAGGTATAGATCTGTGAAACAGCTGTCCAAAGATTAAGACCTATTTTCACAAGGAACTGGAGCCACAAAGCTCTGAATCTTGTTTATCTCTGACGTCGCCGTTATACTAAAGGAGCCAAAGCTTGCGAACACATATAGCTTATTCATCCTGAAACACAGTAATGATGTATGGTAATAATTTGATATGCTATTGTTTGAGCGCGTAGAGTTTCACATTAAGCACCATCTTGCCATTTTACACCTACACAAGTATCCATCTTTCATCTTCAAGCTGTTTCCTAGCATGTTTATGCAGTCATGCCTCACATGTGGGAGAATAACCTTCCCTTCACAGAGCTGAGTGACATTTCAAATGGGCTGAATCCTTCTTCCTTCCACTTTATGCCAAAATGTAATTGGTATGACATCTTTTTTCATCTTCACTTGTGTTTGCAAATTCTATCAGACGTAATTCTCCCTGTCTCTGTGTGTACACGGGCAGGGAGCACATTGAATCCTTTAGCTAAACACAGCACACCCTTCTTGAGCAAGCTACATAGAGGGAAGAGAATTAACCAAAATTCCAGGACTTCACACAATTTTATTTTTTTCATTAAATGAGGAGGTCATCGCTCGGTTTTTGTACAGGTCTGTCTGGCCCCAGGGGAAGAATTGGAAGGATGCACAGCGTGGGGTGAAGGGTCTTGCACTGAGAGTGAAAGGACACACAATGGCGTGTGACATGTAATCAGAGGCTCCTATACTCCCACCCAGATTTCTTTAGAAATCCTGTATCTAGGCTGGTAGAGGTACAAAGACACCTGCCTGACCCCTGTTCCAATGAGGTGTAAGAAGTGGGATTTATAGTGCCCATGGTGATTTCCTTGGAGCTGGAGCACAGACCTTTTGGAATCAGACCCTGATTTGCGATGGGGGGCTCAGGGGGATTCGAGACCAGGACCGGGGACCGGGCAGGAATCCGGCAGCTGCTGTGATGAGCAGTTGCCCAACCACCACCCAGCAAGGGCACCTGGCCTTGTTCAGACAACACAAGACAATGTCAGGGAGTGTAAGAGACATCTCTGCCTGGGTTCCCCCCCAGCCAGGACACTTATAGACCAGTAATGAGGCTTGGGGTCCCTTGGGGACATACTAAACTAAAAGTATAAACTAAAATTAGACCATTGGTCGGTTAAGTGTTCAGTGAACCTCAAGGATTATTTGGAAAAATGAGCAAATTTATAGTGCAAGGAAAACATCAAGCAATAACACTGGCATTTATTTTACCGTACCAATACTGGCTCGGTGTTTTCTAACCTGTATCTCTCATGGCACTCGGATATTGTTCTATATCTAAAGACAGACCAAAAATGGACATTTGCTCTTCAGACATCATTGTTTCTCACACGAAAGGAAAGTTTCCAGCTTTTCTACTTGCCTACGATTCTTTGTCACTGCCTGGAGTCCTTTTAACAAGTTACTTTTCAGGCCTGAGTGGTATTTTGGCCCAACTTTTTTTTGTATTCGGGGGTAGATTTTGTATTAAGCAAGCAACCTGGATCTGTAAGCTTTTTGCTGGGTTACCGCTAGTTTCTCAAACAATCTCAGTATGAACGGCACCGAAACATCCCCATCTCAGATCTCCCCCGGCGCTTAACTGTTAGTAACTAAACACTGAAGACATCGGCTCCTCGTTGTACATAAGCAAGGCCCTGTCTTTACTGCTGGCAGCTGTATTTCATTTCTCATGATATCACCTAATAATCTCCACTAAGGCCCTGCTCTCCCTACCCTGCCCCACTCCTGCTGTGCTCTTTAATGTTCTGCAGTAAAATAAAAACAGACCTAGTGATTTATGTGTCATTTGCCCTGTGTTTTCTAGTTTCCTGCAGTGTGCCTTCATAAACACTGTTCAACCATCCTCCAGTACTCTTTCCTCCAGTAATGCCATCTGGTACCGTATTCTTATTCATCTGGTCTTAGGGCTGTTTTAGAAAGCCCAGCACCACTGCTTTTTCTGTTGCTGCTCCTTTGGTATGGAATGCTCTTGCTCAGACCCAAATTCTTTGACTCTCTTCGAATCCAAACTCAGAAGTCTCCTTTTCACCAAGGCCTGTGTCTGATTGCCCTGCAGTTTCTCCTGCATGAACCTCTATGTTCATGTTCTTATTATGTACTTTTTTGTCTTTTTCTTCAGCACTATGTACAGTGTCCTCGGGTTTGGAAAAGTGCTTTATAAATAAATTATAATATTATTATTATTAGTAGCAGTAGTAGTAATAGTAGTGACAGCACCAGCGTCGCTTTAACAGCTTCATTGCTGCCGCTTCTGAGATGAGCAGAGCCTCACCGTTCTCCCCTATAGACACAGTGAGCTGATCCAGGATGATTACTGATTTGCACCAAAATCGTACTGGAATGGGCTGACATTGGTGTAAAATATCTCAGGCAAAAGGGCTCTTTTCCTCCCCTGTGAATATGAAGTAGAGGACTACTGTGCCTGGTCTGTGCTGAAAATGTACAAATCCCATTCCTGATCTGGATATTCCCTCATGGAATAACATGAGATAAGAAAATGCACAAGTGTAGATAGATCAACAACAACATGGATCAACAACAACAATAATAAGTAAAAAATCTGTATCTATAAACAGGCAGTAGATGGTAGAGTCAGGCATTCATGCAGCTGTGAGAGTATCACAAGACTGCTTGCTGGCCAGCAGCCAGCCTGCTGTAACAGAGAGTGATGGGTAGGCCTGCTGCAACAGGTTTAAAGACTTTGCTCTAGTCACCGGCAGCTGGGAGAACTTCTCCCAAATCAAAAAAGCTACTTGTTTCAAAGGGAGGACATCAGATACACTCCTCCTGGCATCCAGAGGCAAGGAGTGGGCTGCATGCCCGAGCTGTTTGCCTGCAGCTAGAGGGACCCTCTGTGATAATATCTCCTCTGCTCCTCTGCCTGCCTGTCTAGGCCTACTCTCCTTGGGGTAAACATCGCAGTGGAAACGTCCACAAGGGGCAGGAGAGTGTATCACAACAACGAGCGGTGTGGCACAACACTGAGGGCTGTGGCTCAGCACAACGCCACACGATGATTGTGGCAGTTTTTCAGGTGAGCAAGGGCACTGCAAGGTTTCACGACTGACCGTCCTGGAGAAAGATACAGGGACAGGAAGACTAGGCGTTCGGCATGCCGAACAGAGAAGACAGAGACAGCGCCCGCAACCTGCACTGCCCTGCATCTCGTTTTGGGAATTGTAACCTACACCTGAGCCAGTGTTAATTGCTTTACCTGTTTGTAGGCCAATTCATCTTAGATACATAACAAACTGCATGCACAATATGTATTTAGTCATTTTGTCTACTGGATAAGGTAGGTTTGTGCCAAAGCCTGCTGTGCACTAACATCAGTGTTAACCCGACAAGTACGCCTATAGAAATTGAGACAGAATAAGAACTGTGAAATTTTCTGCTCCCCCAAGGTACACTGGCAGAGGATCAGAAGAAGCTCTGCTGAGAAGAAACGGACTGAGGATGCTTTTGTCCTTGCCGGTGGCTGAATGGTTATTAAGGCTGTCTGATGAAAATAAGCTTTATTCAAAGGCATTGCACGTGATTGCCAGTATTACTAAAAGGCAAGTTACCTTTGTAAACTACTCTCCCTTGATCCTACGTGCTAACACCCCTTTTCAACGTAATCCTTTTGTTTATGACGAGGATTTTTAAGAGCTTAATAATTCTAGTGACTTTTGCAGGGATCAAGATTAAAATTGGCAGCAACGCCGGCATGGGGCCTCACAATACTGCCTCATAGATCTTGGATCCTGGGTCTGAGCGCAGACCAGAGATCCTTCTGTGGGGAGCGTGCATGTTCATCCCCATATTCTCATGGGTTTTCTCCGGGTGCCACAACAACGTTCTACACAACCTAACACGATTGCTTCTGAAGAGGAGACATGAAAAACCAATCTGTGTAGTAATATGAAAAAAAGAGCTGACAAGATGTTTTGACTAGTATTAGAACAGAGATGCAAACTAATTTACAGGACAGGTTCCAAACACACAACTGTAGTTTAGCAACAGTGGAATCTTGAAAGCCACTGTCAACAGCAACCATGATAGGTGCACAACATATATAGTATTGTATTAAAATATTAATATTAAGTGAATATTTCCTCCTTACCTTATGCAAGCTGACAAACATTTCAAGCAGTTCCTGGACCTGTTTAAGTCACCACCAACAGACAGGAAGAGGGAATCTGAGCCTTCACAGTGCAAACAGAAGCCAACTGGCTTGTCGGCAAGGCAACAAGTAGGCTAGAAGACCCACACTGCCAGACCTTGCAGCTGGGAAAGAGACACAGAAGGGCTGGAAGGGGGAGCAGGATTGAGGGATCCGAGATAGCTCTCGCTGAGCCAGAAGAGGACAACACAAGGCTAAACAAATGACACCTGCGCAACAAACAAAAGACATACCAAAAGCTTGTCAGCTGGCTCGCTGTTCGGCTCTGGTTAGCGCAGGAAGAGGAAAACTTGGTTTTATGCCGGATCTGCGCAGGTTCCTAAGTATCAGCTGCAGGATTTGAGGAGCTCACATAGTGCGTCCTGAGCCTTCTCCAGAAGGAAATCAACAGCCCAGGCGCATAAGGGCACACTGAGCTGGCGTCTGCCAGGGCCGATCGCTGATCTTTTATAGTTGACAGAGAGACTGGAACTAAAAGTGAGAGAGGGAAGGAGAGAGAGAGTGAAAGAAAGAGAGTCAGAACAGGTAAATTCTTTTCTTACCTTTCACTGAACCAAAACGGCGTAACTCTTTCTCCGGCAGCCTAATGAAGTCACTTTTAAGATGAGAGGGAGGGGAAACGTGGTGGGGTTTTTTTTTCTTTTCTTCGGTGGGGGGGAAAGAGATAGCGAAGTTTTCCCTAAGAATTCCTCGAATCAACTAAAGACAGCTGGTAGAAGAAAAAAAAAAAGGTAATAAATAAAAGCTATTTCCCCCGCAGGGCATTACAAGCGCAGGAAGAGTAATGTCAGGAGGGAGCCAGAGGCGAGGTTTCACGGCACCTGCCAAGATGACACAGAGGAACACCCACACCCCTGTGCTTTTATTGACAAGCTTCACTGCAAGAGTTTTTATATCTGTTTTTTTCACCTGCCGTTTTCAAAGAAAACAAATCTCCTCTGCCCCACCCCACCCCCTACAATTCTGGGCTACAGCCTTGACTTCTACTCTTCTCCTCTGTTTCGGCTCCTACCTTCCTGTCTCAATCAATATTTAAAGACTTGAGAAGTGACAGGAAATACCAAAGAGATACAGTGCATGAAAAAGCTAGCAAAGCAGTCATTTTTTAAATGTTGCGAGGGCCCAGGGATATGTAGAAATGCATATTTATTTCATTTTAATCGAAGCTGACAAGTTCGCGACGGCCATAGTCTTTTTGCAAAAAAGGAGACATTTCTGTGCTTTGAAACACGGTTTCCATTGTATGCTCAGCACTCATCCTTTGCCTTTAGTGTGATTATGACCTTCTTCCCCTACCCCCTTTCTAGAGTTGCCATTGAGTTTCGGGAGGGGAACTCCCAGTCCTGTGGTTTGCAGGGTGGGCTGGGGTGGGGGGGTTACCTGTGGACACCTGATGCTGGGGGACCCCCGTGGGCCCCTCCCCCTCCAGTTCTGGGAGGGTGTCCCCAGGCAGCAAGCTGAAAGAGAATGAAAAGACCACAAAAGACCACAAAATCAGCCCAGGAGCACAGATTACATCTAGAAAAAAATATTAATTAATAATTAATAATTAATAATAATAATAGCCCTTTTCTGGACACTCCACTCAAAGCACTTTACAGGTAATGGGGATCCTGTTTACCTCCACCAGTGTGCAGCCCCACCTGGATGATGCTCCAGTACACTCCCCACACACCAGCTCTCAGAGGGGAGGAGAACAGAGTGATGAAGTTCAGAGATGAGGATTATTAGGAGGCCATGATTGGCAAAGGCCAATGAGAAATTTTGGCCAGGACATCGGGGTAACACCCCTACTCCTTTCAAGAAATGCCCTGGGATTTGTAATGACCACGGAGAGTCAGGACCTTGTTTTTTTCAGAAGGACGGCATCATTTTTACAGTATAGTGTCCCCCTCATAATTCTGGGGCATTAGGACCCACACAGACTGCAGGGTGAGTGCCCCCTACTGGCCCCACTAACACCTCTTCCAGCAGCAACCTCAGCTTTCCCAGAAGGTCTCCCATCCAGGTACTGGCCAGACTCACACCTGCTGAGCTCCAGTGAGGCTGCCAGCTATGAGTCGCAGGGTGACACAGAAGTATCAGGTGGGGATGTGGGACTGTTGGATGGGTGGATGAAAACACGAACAGACAGCTACTGGAAAGGAACTGCATTAAAGTCATGGAGAAGAGTCCTGGTGGGGTTGTTGAATCATTATAATACTGTCAGGTTGGCAAGACTGGCACAATACAGTAGCTTCCTCTTGTCCATGACTTTGTCATGCTCCCAAAAAGAGCAGACGTTGTCCTGCCTTCTTTCCTCCATTGTCTCTAATGCAGACCTGCTGTTAGGAAAAGCAAACCTTATTGAACAGAACACAGCCAAGCCTGCAAAACAACCGAAAGGATGATCCACCTCCATCATGCACAGTTCAAGCCCTTTTCAGGCACTTAGGGCAACAGGTGGCAAGACAGCACATTAGCAAACACCCAAATGCATCTCGTCCCTCCTCAGCCAGCAATTTACGAGCCGATATGTCGACAACAGCGCAAATTGTGTCTAAGGAGAATGGATTTACAACTCCCCCCCCCTTTAGTCAAATTAGCTCAAGGTGATGCAATGTGAGTTATGTAAGAGCATTCCCTGCCATGCAAGTGTCATCTTGATATTTCCTCGGCAGATGTTCTTGGTTCTCAACCTATAAAAGATAAGCGAACGCAGCCTGGTTAGGGATTTTAGGGGTCTTTTTGCAGGGTTGAGTGCGAGTTGCAAATGCAGCTACTGGTATGATAACCTGACCTCCAAAAGCTGCGTGCTGGCTTCTTCGGGGAGTGGGGTAAGCCCCATTGAAGACGTTTACCCTGAGCCTTTACCTCTGATGTGTGTGTCATGAGCACGGCAGCTCCTGCCACTGCCAGGATTTGATCCATGTGGCTTGTGGGCTCCGAGCACACACAGCTCCACCACGCCAAAGAGACCGGCCCACCCATCTGGCTCAGGGCATGAGCCCTGTTATATGTGCACTGCCGAGGTTTACAGTCACTGTGTGTGTGTTTGAATAGGCATAATCCGACGTGCATGATTGGGACCTGTCTACCTCATTGTCATTTCATAGGCACTCTATGAGTGACATCTCTCTCTGGTGTGGATATATTGATGAAGTTCCCAGCTGGCCTTCTGAAATTAAATACGGGGATAACCTATTTCATTAGCAAACCGTCTATAGTTCAATCAATTCCTCAAGATTTACAGAAAGAAAACATTTAACTGTCAGGCCAGTGCTAGCTAGTGTTTGTCTGCATTCCTGACTGTTTAAAGGATAAAAATTGTTTTAAACAAACAAACAAACAAACAAAAATTCACAAATATTTCCTATTGCTTGCTTTATTGGGGGTGCTGTAGAGAAACTGCCTACAGAGGGAGACAGAAGGAAACTAAAGAAAACATTGAATCAAAAACTCTGGAGAAAGGAAGACCCCAATGCATTCATTTATTTACTGTCACCATAAACATCAGAAAACATTACAAAAGCTGGTAATGTTTTGTTGAATTTCAATTATAGGAACAGACTGATGCCAGTTCTGTTAAAGAAGAGCTTGTTATACAATATATAGACATAATTCTAAAAACCTTTTCCTTTTGTACAACAAAGTCAATGTATATGAAGATTGTGACTATTGTAAGCAAAAACGAACGTCTGAAAAATCTGATGTACCTGCACTTAATGTCTCAAGAGGATGGGAAAGATAATGCTCATGTGCTTAACAAAATCAGGATTTCGTTTTTATCCTGTGGTGCTTCCTTGTGAGGACCAAACTAAGCCATTCACAGATTTCAGTATATGAAGAACTGAAGATAGGTTACAAATGAGAAAAGGCCTAGCCCATCTGGTAGTAGTTAATTCAATCTGATCTTTTATAGATATATGCAGTAACAATTTCCACTTATCCAACATGGCAGAGAAACTGAACCTATTTTTGTATAGTTTTCCCTGCACCTATTTATAATGGTGTAAAACAAAGAAACAACCGACTTGTATATTTATCATCAATGACTGATGCTGTAGGTAAATGTAAGACTATAGTGTATTGTTGAGCGCATCACTTTTGCCGTTTCAACTGAGAAAATTAGACTTTTATTCTGAAGGGCATGACTCTTCTGTACCCCATTTTCTCGTTTCACAGCTCTGCTGAACCTGAGCTCATGAAATACAGAGAACTGGAAAAGAGTTCTGCAGTTTTAGCTTTACCCACGAAACCATACCAACAATACAGAGGCCCCTACAGCGATGTCTGAGCTGGTGGCAGAACCACTGACAGAATGGAACAGTACAGCCCTGCACACAGGACCCAGACACCCTCCTACCGCAGAGCCCCAAATGAACTCTGGCTCACCTGCTTCTGAGCTCCAGCCTTTCCTCCTGTGGTCATCACTCCGTGAGAATGACCTCTTCCTAGTCCAGCGTCTGCAGGCACGATCCAGAGCAGTGAGCCATCCCCTGCTTCCCAAACAATAGTTGCTCTGGAGGGGAAGGATGGGGGAATTGACAGGGATATGTCCCAGCCACAACCCGGAGTTCATACAGGAGGCTAAGAGCCGCAATCCAATCCAGCATGCGACCTCTCTCTCACTCGGCCAAACTCAATGCATCCATTTCCTTCTAACCTCAATATTTTTCTAAAAAAAAAAAATTACTGTTTTTGAAAGGATTTGCCTTCTGTCCTCTTGACTACCTCAAAGCTTAAGTCTCCAGATCACAAACCCCGAGTAGCGTCCACCAAATGTAATCCTACAGCTGGGAGGAGATTTGTGTTCAGTGATAGAAGAAAGGTTTATATCCACGTGGACTATAAAAAAGTCTATCTGTCTTCTACTTTTCTTTATGATGTAGAAGTGGTTTAGTAATTATTCGTAGTAGTGTTTTTAGTATAGATGGAGCAGAACTTGGGAATGATGTGTATTTCTTGTCATTTACATTGTATGACGTAAAAGTGTTATGGTGGATTTATTTAATTTCTATTCATTTCCAAGGACAATGTATCCTTCAACACGCTTGATAAACAATCACAAGAACAGCTTGAGAACAAGTTAGTGCCTTTTTGCTTTGGAGAAAGGGTTTTTCAAAAATTATAAATGAATTCAAGCACCATGGACCATTGAATACATAAAGCAGAAGAGAAGCTCCTCGTCTATGTGGGTTTAATTTAAACCAACCACAGTGTCTTTCTAAAATGTGATCTGTTGATATTTGTTACACACAGGATAAAGGGCCTTTGGAGATTTAAAGAAGCTTTGAAGAAGCTCCACACATTTCCAAACCCCTAGTGTTTTACTTGAAGTAAAACTTGAAGTTGAAAGAAAGCACGAGTTCACAGAATATTCAAGAGTTCTTACAAAATTGTTTTATCAACACGTTGTTCAAAAAAGGACTGAACTCTTGATTGCTAAAATCCTCACACACAGTTTATGGTAAAAAGACAATGCAGAGAGCAGGATTTATTCACCCTCAATTATATTACAGATAAAGATCAGAACAGAAGCAGATTTAGTCTGTCAGCGCAGAAGCAAACCTGAGCTGGTAACCTTTCAGCTAACCTGTCTGATTTCAACAGCTTTTTGAAGAGTTTTTTTTAACTGTGGGTGGAAACTATCAGAAGACATGTGATGGATCGTCATTCTGAGGAGCAAATATCACACTCTGTAACAAAGGGATGCAATATGGCTCTTTCCTAGCACGAAACTCCCCCCGGGGACATTTCAGAAGTGTTTTGTATTTCTCACACAACACACAACAGCACAGCCAATTTAATTCCAAGACAAGGATGACTACAGCAGTCTGTCACGTTGCCAGCACTGCTTAACCAGATCAAGCCTTGTGGATGACTTTCAAAGCATGTGTGTCTGGAAGGTACGAATGTACCGTCCAGAACTCTTCTAGGCCAGGATCTGCACTGTATCCCAATACATCATTAATACACCTCTCTGCATAGTGCCTGACATACTGACTGCCATGCTAAAACATATTTCACATGATCTGCAAGCATCGAGGGGCTGTTCCCAGTTACAAGTAATTATCCGTTGTTGCTGCTGTTTATTCCAGATGAAACAATATAACACACTAGTTAAAAACCTGGGGAAAAATGGAAAACTAAGCAATAGTTAAGATATGCTTATACAGTAATTTTTTTTGAATAAGCTGAACAAGGAAGTGTTGTAGCTTTTTTATCTCTTTTATGAGCTGTTTTATAAACCCATTAACCTATGACTCCAATTAAATACTGTGGAATATATTTAAACTTTAACTTCAGAAGAAAATGAATAGTATTATAAATTCTATACAGCAGCCCTTTGCTATATACAGTATATAATAAAAATGCTACATACTTTATTGCATATACAGTACCTGCTTGTCAAAGGCTTGTTTAATTTACAATATACTAGACATACAAACAATTAGTCAAAGTATTTTTTTTTTAATTAATCAACACACATGTTGTTGGCTTTTAAAAAAAAATATCTGATTACATTTTTAAGAGTTAACCAAACAGGGGAGCTTTCTCTATTCAGACTACTACAGACTTCAGCCTTGCATATATCGTTCAGCTAGAAAGTGTCTTTACGTTGAGTTTCTGAGACAATGCAATGCAAAATTATTGCAAGAAGGCTCCTGAGAAAAATGTTGCAAAATGCCATGAAGCTGTAAAACCCCATGTTAAAAGATCCTAATTGATCCCTGATCCTCATATGTGAAGGGAGACACGTAATTCATACAACAATTTCTCGATATTAACAAAACCACAAAGGTAACCCTGTAAAGATACAAAATGTAAAAAAAAATGCTTGCCGTGCTCTCAGAAACGTGTTCGTTTGATGAGAAATAATATAACTTAATTTAATTTATCTGAATTGTGTTTCGTAGCCCGTGGAATTACAGCCCCTGACATCGGTCAAGCCCTCCGCGTGAATGAGGAGGGCGAGAAGTTCTGAATCTCAGTTGGTCAAGTTCCTCTTTCTCTTCCTCTGTGTGGATGCTGTTTCACGGGGGGATGAAAGAACTTGCTTGAGGTTTCCTGCTGTATTAGAGAAGGCTGGAAACACGAGAGAGAATCGGCTCTATCTACTGGGGGAGGAGAGAAGCCAGTCTTTGGGGGTGCTGATGATGACAGTGATGATGATGATGAAGATCCTGTGGTAGGGCTGTGGTTTTGGACAATCCGGCCCCAGTCGCAGATCTCTTCCTCCCCTCCCTCTGCCATCTCTCTATGTCCCTGTCCCTCACCTCACAGTGCGTGTGGCTCAGGGAGCGTTGTCTGTCATGTTTGCCCAAGTGGGAAACGTGTCCAGATGGAAGATGGCTGTTCCCCAGGTGTTCAAGGCCAGGTTTATTGAGAGGACACCTATTACATTCAGCATAGCTCCAGCTTTTGCCTGTGGAAAAAAGAACCCACTGAAAAAACCCTGTTAAATATCAACCCATTAGCGAGGGTCCCATTTCCAAGAGTCTGTCATGGATGTCGGAAAGGACGAACTGTGGAATGACAGGAGAGCGAAAAGACCCTATGCGTAGCGGTGAGATGGGGGTCAGCCCGGGCTCAGCTGTTCAGGAAATGCCGTATAGAAACCTGTGCCCTCAGGTAGCGGATGAGGGGCGACCTGGTGCTAGGCGGGGTTCAGGACATCCAAACGTCAATGCTGAGCGAGTAGCAGAGCAGAAGCAGGAAATAAATAGGCTACACAACAAGACACACCAGAAAGACAAGAATGATCACAGGAAACTAGGACCAGGAGGAAAGTAGAGCGCCCTCTAGGTGTACTGGGCGTGACAGAGTCTGCAATGCACACACCTCTGAAAGCTTCATTTAGTACACGAACCCTCATCTGTGATTCATAGCAGAAACGAAATCAATAAATAGGCAAATACAGATTGACAAGATTGAGAAATTGGGACTGAGTAGCTATTGGCCGTGAAGAGAACACAATGGATCAAAATCGCACCCAAACCAAGATTCCCAACTGTAATCATCGCAACAAGGATCCTAGGACACACAAGGAGAGCACTGGGGAGGTCTCTCGGAAGATGGGAAGGCGAAACGAAGAAGTGTGCTGGCGAAGATAATTTAATCCTATCGCATTGTAAAACGCACAGGTGAAGAATTCTATGAGCAAAGATGCTGTTCTTACACATCCTTAAGTCATAGGAAACAGAACTTACCTACAACACATGTGCGTCATATCTGTGTCTGTGTCATATCTAAGGCTAGTGTTACCCCTAAATTCTCTTTGTTCCCATTGTGAGATCTCAGGAATTTTCAATAACAACTGAGTAAAGGGGACACAAACGCATGCATAAACTACTTCTCATCCCAAATGCAGGAAGAGAACATTCTGTCGATACCCTCGTAGTAGCCTGCTACTAATGCTTAATTGCAAGGGTATGAACAAAAATCTAGAGACTTCCATTTGTAATAGTCCACAGCTCCTTTAGTGCCAACCATACAGTGTTAGCCACGCAGTTACAAAGTGTGACTGGCACTAAGACCAACTGACAAAGATTTGTCAATACATCGGAAGAAGAAGAGGGAGACTCACCATGTCTATGACTTTGAGGTTTCCGTAGGAGAAGACAATGGCATTGGGTGGGGTGGCCACTGGCAGCATGAAGGCCAAGGAGGCACAGATGGTACAGGGCAGCATGACATACAGAGGGTTGAGCTGAATGGCTGTGGCCTGGGGAGAGAGGTGCGGCGATGCAGGAAAATCATTGCAGGAACTGACACAAGGTTCTTCTATCAAGGAATCAATCAACCATTTGTTTTCAAGTAAGTAGCTTGAAGGGGGTTACTTGAAAGCTTTAACAAATTCCGAATTATGCACAAAATTGTGAACTTTGTGAAAGTACTTTGCGGTCCATTGTTGTCGCAAACCCCTGGTTTCACCATGGGGAGAGAGTGAGAGAGCGAGAGTTCGGGAGAATTGTGACACGAAACAGCCCTTCCTGCTCACTAGTCCCTGTAATGACTAATGTAATGTGATGCACATGAGAGTATGGGGTTTTTATCCTGCTGTCCTGGCTAAATTCCACCTTGGGATTGCTCAATTTGGTTTCCTTTAAATTTAAATTGCTGCAGTAATTTCTCACTCCTCCACCTGATCTGCTGTGTACTTACACAGTGGTGGGTGATTTAGGGTCTTTCCTATATGTAAAGTTCTTTGAGATCCTGAAAAGCACTATACAAATGCAAGGAAATTCTACTATGACAAACAAGATTAAATAAGTGTAATATACAAATACATGTATATGCACTTAATATAAATATAAAACAAAAAATATATTGTTTTATCTTGGGTTGGTGTTAAAATCCATTCAGCCACAGAATATCATCTGGAGAAAAAATGCAAGTGAGGCTGTAATATTGCCCTCAATCTTTGTTGAACTGTTTCAGTCTATTCCTAGAGATATTATAGAAGAAAGTTGAAAAATTCTCGGTGTTGCTGAAACAAAGACATCCTCTCAACAGGCTTTTCCAGAACAGGTTATATCAACCTTTCCACTCAAATCAACTGTAAATTCCAGGAGATTTATTTCCCTGTATCTTACTGAACTGAAATTTCCTTTGAACTCCTTAAATGCCTGTGGTGTCAAACGTTCTGTACTCTCTAAAGACAAAGCTAACAGAGATATGGCACAACTGAGTACAAACACAAAACACAGGAAGAAAACATACAGGTCCAAGGCACCAATCTGAAAACTCTTACCAAAAACACTTACATATTACGTTACTTGTGAGCCTGCTGAAAGAGCTAATTAATATGTTCCAGTTCTAGAAAGCCTGGCCACTGCTGTAGGGTTTTTTGGCGCGTTTCTAACGCTGAGCACAAGGGGGCAGCACTCACCATGGAGGCCAGGATGGGCAGGAAGAGGGTGGTGGTGGCGGTGTTGCTGGAGCATTCGGTGAAGGTGCTCACCAGGAAGGACAGCAGGATGGCCGTGGCGGGCGCAGGGATCTCCTTCATCGGGGAGAGACTCTGACCCAGCCACTTAGACAACCCCGAATCCTGAGCACGGCCAGAAACACAGCACACACAACCTCCGTCATAGAGAGTTACCACGCGCCTCTTCTCTAACGACATGAGAGAGTAGACCAGTCTCGATGAGCCATCGATGAGCACACAGCGACAGGGCACTGAAGGGCCTCAAGAGACTTCTCATGCAGGCAGACATCTGCTGTAATGGTTCTACTTTCTACATTTGTGAAGCTGCCAGAGCTAATTAATATTGGCGTTCACATAAATCATAGCAACTGCTTACTCTTAAGAGACACTGTAACCTTGCAGGGCTTTACTTGGAAGATGTGTATCCACAAACAACAGAGGAAAGAACTGTGGTGATGAAACCAGGTCCCTTACTCTGTGAAAACCAGTGCAGCTCAGGTTTTGCATGGAGAATCAAGACCAGTGTGCTGTTTTAACCACTGTACCCTTAGATGCTACATCTCAGGGAGTGATCATGCCTGTTCAGGTCTTTGGACAGTATCAAGATTTTAAAAATCAGTGTATCCTAATGGTCGGGCTTCAGTGGATTTTGGCAGGGTGTTTGGACTTTACCTCGCTGCCCTTGGCCAGGGCGAACCCGCCACCCAGGAGCAGGATGATGTTCCAGGGCATCTTCTCATGGACCACCTCCCAGATCAGCAGAGGCTTCGGGGCCTTGATCCTGCCTGTAGGGAACACAGGCGGCACCGGGCTGAGATCCGAAGCCTGGAATTCTCGGAGAGAGATCACTACCGGGGCTCCAATCAGGGTCGTGTGGACCCACCAGACAACTCCTTCAGCATCTCTCTGTTCTGATCTTCAAAGTGCATCACAGGCAACAAAAACATATTCCCTTGTGGGACTGAACAGTTGAATATTTTTGACGGAATTGAGAATAGTTCTAATAAAGGTAAGCCAAGGCTAGAACTAGAAACTTCTAGATCTTGTTTCTATTTGTCTCCCTGAGTTTTTTCACCTTCTTTTAGTAATAGAACTGTCTACAGTAGGTAGCCTCCTGGATCAAATATACAGTAGTTCTGTCTAATGTAACATCCTTTTTTCAGTTTCCTCTCTTGAATTCTTCAAAAATTAAACTACAAACTTGTTTTTGTCAAGGGGAAGTGAGTTTGCTTTTTTTTAGGCTGACAACTGCTTGTTCTGTTGTGGGAATTTCACAAACGAGCTGCAATCCAGGCATGTTTTGCAACTTGACGTCCCAGCAGACCATAGACCTCAATCTGTGCAACTTCCTCAGTTCCAGTTTCAGGTGCAGTGGTGCCTCTGAGTCTTTTCAGCCTGTGAACCTTGACCTTGTGGTGTTTAATCACAATGACAGTGGCTTTTATTGACAAAATACAGAAACACGACTGTGCACTCTGCACATCTGAGTAAGTACTAACCCTAGCACTGCTTCTGAGTGAGAAATGGCCTTGACCTTGGACTGTAGAGGCAGCTACTCAGATGTGATGGCCTTTTATCAACATTATCTAGATGAAGGCAGGCACAACCAGACTAGCTGCTGGAAAAGATTAGCATTTTTCTCAGCGGTTTCATTCACTTTCCTTTTCACAAGTTCCTGCTAGCAGAGCAGACTGCATCTTTGGCAGCCTTTGAGCTACGTTCTGCAGGAAAAGGACAAATGCGTTGGTTTCCATGTGTTATCAGGATGTACAAAAGGGATCCTTTCTTCAATGCACAATGGCCAGTAAATATACAGTAGTTACTGTGGCCGAGGAGGCATTTGTATGTTTCTGAGTTGGGAACAGTCCCTTTCAATTAATCAATTTCAATCAGTATTCAAAAACTCTTAATCACTTGTTACTGAGCATGACCACTCAAGTCTCAGGTATGTGCTGGGTATGAATAAAATTCACTATGTCACTTACTGTTGCACTTCTTAGATTTCTACAAGGTAGATATCTCACTTAAACCACAGCCAGGATTTGCTTGAAACAAATACAATTGTTTTTTTTTAATTGCCCCCCGTAGTGGATGAATAAAGTGTTTTCAACTGAATTAAACTGAATTGAATTGAATTGTGCTCTCTTTTCAGTGTCTCTCAGGCTGAAGTTGGTGCTCGGATTTTAGAACAGAGCCTGATGCAATGTTCTGATCCGACACGGGAACAGAATCCCAGTCCTGTCTGGGTAAAATGCGGGATACTCCAGGTCAGTGAGTCAGCCTGTGCTTGCCAATCGTAAGGTCAGCGTTCCTCACCTCCATCCGTTGTGCTGCCAGACAAAGAAAACTCCGGGAGCTCCGATGGGATTACAAACAGCAGCAGGGACATGAATATCGCCACCGTCCCATCAGTGACAAACCTGCACACAGACAGAAGAGACAGAAGAATCGAAGTCAGAAGAGACTTGAAGAAACATTAGAGATGGGAGGGGGACATTCAGCCCCTCTATTTCCTTTCCTCATTAGCTCTTAATTGGTAGGCTTTCACAGCAGCCCAATCCAGGGCAGAGGCACCACCATTTGAGTGAAAAAAAAGCTTCCTGATCTCAGTGTTAAAATGCTGTCAGCACTCCACAACAAACTCAGGAACACGGCATTGCAGCTGCTGCAGGTACACTGCTGCAGAATCTTCATGAAACTAAAACAAATCCAGATTGCGTAACACCAGCTTTCATTCTGTAATGGTTAGAAAACACAACCCAATTCTTCTTTAGCCAAACACTACCTAGGGACACTAGGTAGCCTAGCTGCGTGTCTTTGGAGGCCACAAAGGCGATTTGAGAGACAAGCAGTGCCGAGCCAATGGAGCCTTCAAGCATGGTGTTCACCTTCCTCTCTAGCCCACAGGCATTCCGAGAGAGCACCCGGAGGGCCCCTCCTGAACTTACTGCTCGTCATTCTTGTTGAAGAGATACGTGGCCCATCCAGGTATAAAGCCGGGTTCCCTTGTGAACCAGAGCAGCACCAGTGTGACGAAGAGAATCAGGATGGCCACCTCGGAGAAGTTCATTCCGCCCAGCTTCTTGTACTCATCCTTTATCACCTGGTACGCCCGCTTGTCCGCGGCAGTTTTACCACCACAGCCAAACGTCTGCTTGAGACTGGGGCAGACAAACGGGGAATTCAAATGGGGGGCAAACGGAGGAGAAAGCACAACAATCACTCTGTGTGAAGGCAGACATCTCTTTCCCTGAAAGACCGACAGCAAAGGACTAAAGCAAAGCTTCTGTACCCCTGCTTTCATTCTGTAATGGTTAGAAAACACAAGCCAATTCTTCTTTAGCCAAAGCATGCGGTCGCTCAACAGATGCTACTGCATCATATTCTTTTTGTATAAATAAACTGCACTTTGTTGGAGGTTGCTATGCATAACAAATATGGTCAACTTCCACCAACAGGATATTTACAGCAGTAAACCCATAATCGGAAAGCTGCTTATTGCTGTGGCGAGGGTCACAGAAGCAAAGGGCTCCAAGCCAGAACTTTATTCTGGACAGGACACCTGTTAATTGTTGGGACGCCAACCAACTAACTGAGCATGTCTTTGGAAGGTGGGAGGAAACCAAAAGAAATCCCGTGGAAACAGAAGGGGAACATGCAAACTCCACCCAGAAAGAGGTTCACTCTGAAACCAATCCCAGAACCCAAAAGCTGTGAGGCAGCAGGGCTGACCACCTCACTGTCATCCCACCTTCTAAATAAATAATGATAATGAGGTTCTGAAAAGATGCCTGCAGGGAAAACTGAACCTTACTTGAAGCCCAGATAAATGAACTGGAGCCAGACCCACGACAGAGACAGCATGAGGACCATGTTCGGAAAAGCAAATCCAAACCAGCTGGCGAAGTTGATCACGTCTCCATTCTGGGGGTAGATCCTGAAACAGAAAGACAAAGGCGCATGAAAGGGATCTGGCAGGTCTCAGAGCTCTCACAGCTACAGCGGCATTTACAGGTGGCGCCATCCTGAGGCCTCTATTCAGACACAAGTACCCCCTGGGTACGCCAGGTCTGGGGGCCCAGCCAGCTCCGGTCCCGGACACAAGGAAGGCATGGGTGACCCCAATATCTTGTGTGATGTGGAGGCCACAGCTCTTTGCCTTTCCTGCACTGGATCCCGTGTTCCCACGAACATTTATCTAGTGCCGTAATTCCACGGGAAACCCATTGCGAAGCACTCCCCGATTGCTTACTTGTCAATCTGGCCCTTGAGGATGAGGTTTGGGGTGGTGCCGGTCAGCGTGGCAGTGCCCCCGATGCTGGCCGCGTAGCACACGCTCAGGCTCATCCCTTTGTACAGGTTGGCGTACTTCTCCGCCCGCCGGCTGGCCATCTCGCTGGCAGCGTCGACGCCCGCCTCCATGGTCATCGCCGGGCACGTGCCTGTCGGAAAGCACCAGCGGTCACTGGCCGCCCTGTGGCCCAAGAAGGGGGGCTACTCCCTGCCAGGTCCTTCCCATCCACCCCATCGCCCCGATTCCCCCCCCCCCATCGCCTTCGTTTTTTTGTTAAGGGGGCTGCAAATTAGCTGTTAAAGAGCCACAGGTCATGAAGTTACAGCAGCATAGGGCTTGGAGTGTATGTCATGTTATTTTCGCTAGCAGCTCTAACAAATTCCCTGTCTTCACAAACGACGTCTCTGGCTTCCTGCTGTTCTACTGCTGCCAGCCTCCCCCCTCACAGGTGGCTCCAGCGGCTCAGGATTGATGGCACTCCACGAGGGGGCTCTTATAGAATTGCTTTTGTGGGTTAACGGGCCAACAAAAGGGGGCACACTCAATGTAAAAGAATGATTTTGTCCATGAATTCCTTCCTGCACGTCCTATGTACAGCCCCTTCCTTTGTTTCTGGCTACTACAGCACCTGGATGGGAGACCTCCTGGGAAAAGCTAAGGTTGCTGCTGGGAGAGGTGTTAGTGGGGCCAGTAGGGGGCGCTCATCCTGCATTCTTTGTGGGTCCTAATGCTCTAGTGACGGGGACACTATACTGTAAACAGGCGCCGTCCTTTGGATGAGACGTAAAACTGAGGTCCTGACTCTCTGTGGTCATTAAAAATCCCAGGGCATTTCTCAAAAAGAATAGGGGTTTTACCCCAGTGTCCTGGCCAAATTTCCCCCTGGCCTTTATCAATCATGGCCTCCTAATAATCCCCATCTCTGAACTGGCTTTATCCTTCTGGTCTCCTTCCCACTGAGAGCTGGTGTGTAGGGAGAGTACTGGTGTATCATCCAGGTGGGGCTGCACACTGATGCTGTAAAGCGTTTTGAGTGGAGTGTCCTGGAAAGCACTGTATAAGTGTAAGCAGTTATTATTATTATTAGTAGTAGTAGTAGCCCAGAAGTGCCCAGCTCCTGACCTTTGCCATCCTCCGTGCCGTCCTTGTGCTCGGCCGGAAGGCCAGTCTTGGGGTCGGGTTCGAAGCTGTGGTTGGCGTGCCCGTTCTGCAGCTCCAGCTGGTCGGCCTCGGCCTCGCTGTTGCTGAGCTGCTCCAGCACGGCCTGCGCAATGGGCACCATCATGGCGGTGGTGGCCGTGTTGCTGATCCACATGGACAGGAAGGCAGTGGTGCCCATGAAGCCCATCATGAGACTGCGCACGAGAAAGACAGAGAAACCGGGCTGACACGAACCATCATGCCTGGCCCAAACACGAGCTCCGCAGGCTGATTCCCGTTTTATACCATGGTAAAGGAGAGTAACATGCAGTGAAATCATGACAAAATCATGGAAAAGCACACAGTGGTATGGTAAAGCACTATACAGATTATGGGCAACCATGGCAAAGTAAATAGAATGCACAGTAAAAAAACTGCAAAGACACCGTGAAATTTACTATGGTAAACTTAAACACATATCTTTCTGCAGCAGCGCCGCTCAGCTAATAGGAAATGCAGGAAGAGAGCTCACAAGGCAGGCTTGACTCCTACGACGAGCAGAACTCGCAGGGCAATGCGCTTGTGCAGGTTCCTGTGTTCCACACCTATTGCCACCAGCAGACCCCCAATGAACAGCATGTTGCTGTCTGTCAGGTACTGGACACACACCTGCAGGCAAAGAGGGAAATAGGACTGACTTCCAATACGCTCTTCCAGTAACACTGCCCTATGAGCATTCATATTAACATTATTCTACGTGAACTAATCTAATTATTGTTGAATTATTGTTAGAATAATTTCCTATGGCATCAATGTGAAATACAATAGATGCATTCGCAGATTGCATACTGTATATGATTTCCCCTTTCTTTTTTGAATTAAAGACGAACAGCAACCTATTGTGAGGTGTTCGGGTCTTCGGAATTCAAGCTTCATTTGTGACCACATTGCTTTCATCCTATGTTTCAAAGGATGAGGTTTTTCAAAGAAAGTCAACTTCTGCGTGAACGAAAGACTGACCATCGTGGCATCACAGAGCAGGAGGGGTTGACTGGTAACATGGAACCTGTAGTAAATGGGTGGGAAATGCAAGACATGGAAGATGAATTTCCCTTTAGGTCAGCGTGATACAGAGAGGGATTCAGACTTAAGCTGCACCCTGGTATCTGGAAATCCATGTTGTACCTGCTGCGGATTTTTAAGCCGATGTTTTCCCACGAGCTGAAAACAGACTCGTGCGCTAATCAGCACGAACCCTTTCTCCACGATTCAGCGGGCAACACCGCGAGACAAACAATGGGGGACCGAGTCTTACATTGGAAGACGTCATGATGCCCATCATGGGGAAGAGCACCACGGGCAGCAGGGCAGTGACGGAGAGAGGAAGGGCCTCTGTGCACCAGTACAGAGCCATCAGGATGATCACGAACCCACAGCTTGCCTCCTGGAAACACGGAGACAAGCATAGTCACACAGACCTGTCCTCAACAGCCTAATGCTCAACACTCCCAAGAGGACTCATCCACCACTAAGCAATGTTCTCTATGTGCAGAAGCAGCATCCTTGATTTAGGAAAATTCCATTTAGATTTTGTGACATTAATCAAATATGTTATGCTGTCTGCAGGGTACAGCAGCAGCCCTGATAAAAGCAGTGAGCAGGGGTGTCTCTGCTGAGTAAGAAACATTACATATAATTCGTTTGTTTGGGCACCAAAGGTTTATCCTGGGATTGGGCAACACAGCCAAGTCAATATAGTCACAGCAGCAGTCACACCTACTGGTGCTTTCAGAATGCAACGGCCAGTTCAAAATACTGCCCTTCATGGGCAATGCTATAATACATTGGATCCCATTAAACCGAGACAGAAAACTGGATTGCTCCTGTGCCCACTGTTTTCTTTTCCTCGAGCAAAATTCATGGGACTTAAATTCGTTTTTAAACAGGCTATTTACTGTGAACAATGCATTCATATTCCAGAGATTATTTATGTAGCAGATGATGGGAGACAACGCCCTTTGTTGACGTGGCTCATTGACAAAGTTTGAGACGATGCTGTCCTGTGCTGCATGCAAGGAGTATGACATGGCCAACAAAAATAAACATTTTCTCAGCGTCATGGCTGGCTGGTTTTCTGATCCAGATGTATGTTTTTTTTTTGTTAACAGAAGAGGGGACACTGTGTAGTATTTGTTTCCACAGGTCTAGAAAAGGGAAGGAGACTCTGAGTTATCTGGATTAAGAACTGGTTAATGGATAACAAACAGAGAGTACAGATCAAGAGCGAATGCTCCCTCTGGGATATCATAATTAGTGGAGTACAACAGGGATCCATATTAGGACCACTGGTCTTCTAAATTTATCATAAAGAGCAAGATTTTAACTAGGTAAACTAGCCATGTTTGGAGATGATACCAAAATAGGAGAATTAACCAAGTAGAAACTGTAAAGGAAATTCAAACAGATCTAAACAAGATCGAATATTGGGCAAACAACTGGCTGGCCACATTTAATGTACACAAGTGCAAATGCAAAGGCACTGAGTGCTAAAGGTACTGTAACAAAAACAAACGACACAAGATGGGAAATACAGAGTTTCAAGAAGCTATTTTTGGAAAAGACTTTAGTGTTTATGTTAACATCACTGTCACTTGTTACAAAATGTGGAGAAATAATAAAAAGGCTGTCTGAATGTTTGGATATTTAGATAAAAGTGCAGAATTTAAATTAAAGTCTATTATATTAGAGCATAATTAGTAAAACCTCATTTTGAACATGGCTCCTCTGGAACCATCCAGAGAAGAACAAACAGACATATTCCCAGCTCCATAGGAATGTCCTACCGTCACAGGCTAAAAGACTGAACCTTTTAAGTTTTGTACAGAGGAGAATGAAGGGACCCGATTCAATTAATTTCTGCCAGTCTATGCAATGCACTTTTTCAGAACCAGCAGTGAAATATGAATAAAAGGACACAGCTGCACTGACCGGGACTTTTTCAAAACAAGGGCTGTTGTCATTCTCCCCATTGACTCTATGAATTTCTTCAGGCAATAAGAAGAAACCTGAACAGAAGTACCAGGTGCATTGAGGACTAGGAGGTGTTTGTACATGGTCTGGAACTGCTGAAGCTGACACACAAATGGGCTGTATTAGATTAGATCCTCTAATCACTTAGGTATTGTTAACCTATTTGTCTGATGCTTTTAATTTAAGTGATTAACATTTGTGTCCATTTATACAGCTGCGTGCTTTACAGGAGGAATTGGAGAATTCTGCTCAAGTGTTCAGCAGCTGTCCTCATCCAGGTTTTGAACCCATAACCTGCCACTTGTGAGCTGAGACACTCCTCAACACTGCAGCTAATAGCAAGAAAACAACCTCTTCGTGTCAGAACTTTTCTTATGTTCGAACTCTAGGCTGTAAAACTAATGTGACTGAAATCAATTTAGCCGTTCCACTGGTGAACAGGTTGCATTACAGCTAAGTCAAAAATCAATGCTTATAAATTCATTATTTATTATTGATAACATGAAAGTTCCTGTTATACTAGCTCTGGCAAACTTTTTTTTTCTTTTATTTAAAAAAAAATATCTTAAGTGTCTTTTACATGGGGAAATTGTCAAAATCCCTAGATATAGAATGTACTTCTTGTGCTCTTAATGTGAGTTTCAGAAACATGATTTTTGCAGAAGGAGTAGCTTTTTTGTGATGTGACTGTGCATTAATCAAAACATATATACTGAATTTTGAATACCTCATTCAGTACCTCATTTCTACTGAAATTCCTGGGAAGAGAGTGAATCATCTGGATGTCCTCACACAAGGAAGATGAATTTGAAAAGTGATTACACTAGCGCAATAGTTATATTGAGGATGAGAAACAGTTAGAATACATTTATTTTATACAGTATGTGTCATAACAGCAGACCTTGGGCTTTGTGTTGCTGTTAACTTTATGAATAAGTTGTAAAGCATAGGTCACAACAGCAAACAACATCT